CGCCCCTGTACACTGTACACTCTAATGTACCAACACATGGAAACTGTCGGATATTATATTAAACTATTATACCTTACTTACAAGTATTTAAGTTCTCTTGGTACTTAGTACTTTCGTTCTGTCCTAAATTCTGTACTTAGTACTTTCGTTCTGTCCTGCGAAAATATTTTGTGAAGAGGCAATTTTTTTCAATGTCGCGTATTTGCGATGTGTTCAAAACCTAAAATCTTTTTGGCATTCCTCTCAAAATTACTTTGTTTCAGCTTTATTTTGTAGTTTACACAGTTAGCTACCTTTTTAAATGTATCTGGCGGTTGAGAAACACAAAATAATAGTTAAATATTGTCAATTTCAATACAATTATCATTGATGCTGTAAAATTGACGCCATATTTCTACAGCAATAGAAGCAAAACTTACTGAACTTCAGACATCATTTTCTCTTTGGCGTACTATCTAAAATCTCTTCGTTTTAGCATCATTTTACAGATAAAGCACTAAACATACTTTTTAAGTTTGTTTACCGCTTGAGAAACGTGTCAAAAATTTAAAAAATTGACTATAGTCATAATCAAGTGGAAAAGTATATTAATTTATTTCTGAGCGCGTCTGACGTAACATACAAAAGATTCTCTTCTTAAATATTTCCGGACATTTTCCAGCGCTGAGGAGCATGGTTATAATTGTGATAGGAGCTCAGATCAAAGTGAAATACATTCAAAGAAATCTAACATATATATATATACCTTGCTGCCCATGATGATTAGCTGGATATCGTTGTTGTGTACCTGGATATCGATGTTGTGTACCTGGATATCCACCGTATGCCCCCTGTTGTCCCTGAGCACCATATCCTTGATACTGACCAGGTCTTTGATTCCCAGCCCCATATTGTCCATATGGTGAACGCTGTCCGTACGGCGAAGGCTGTCCATAGGGCCTTGTCCCAATGTCCGAACTCTCCTCAGGCACGCCTTCTTGTGCGGGTTGCTCAGGTTGGGCACCCGTGGATTGGACATTCGCAGATGAGTCTGCAGGCGGTTTTGTTTGGGCAGCGGTGTTCTCTGGAGGTGGTGTCACGTCAGCATATGGGTACGTCAATTTGCCGTCACTCTGAACAGGACTGACCAGCGTAGGAATCGGTTGTTGATTCTTGTTCATTTTCCTGTTGGGGAGAAAATAAATTCAATCAGTTTGCCTTTGTCATTTCAATTTAACAAGTAACAAGTTGTTAACAAGTTAAACCCGATTACCTATATATACATGAACTTACGGTTACAGCTCAACAGCTGGCCTCTGTAGCTCAGTTGGTTAGAGCGCTGCACCAGAATCGCAGGGCCGTAGGTTCAATTCCTACAGGAGGATTTTGTGCTGCATTTTTCGCAGTCGTTCCTGGTTAGGTCTTAAAATGTATATAATCACTTGGATTACAAACCGTAACATTCTTATAAGTATTAGCATAAAAAGAAGCGAATTAGCTATTAAAACGTCCCGCCCGATGAGGGTCGTTTAGTATAATTCCCTTGGGCGCCGGTATAATTGGTATAATTGAAAAATTGGTATAAATAGTATAATTGGTATAAATGGTATAATTGGTATAAATGGTATAATTGTTTTCCCTGTCTTTGTTTAGTTTTGGCGATTTCAGATATCTTCATTTATATTCATTTTTTCTAATCGTACCCGCTTTGACGTCGTTTCGGGTAGGATTAGAACTAATTCTACCTGACATGACGTAAAAGCGGGTAGGATTAGAAATAATGAATATAATGAGGTGTATTAGTTATTAATTGCCCTGCGAGAACAAAGGGAATACCTGCAATCATGATATTCTAATATTAATTCCACTAAGTGAAGTGCAAGAAACCACATCATTCAAGTAAACATTTTACAGCTTGCCAACAAGATGTGTTCGCATTGCTTGTTCCCAGTTGACAAGTCTGGAACAAGTTGTTATCATCTTGTAACAAGTTGATGAGGCCAACAGACTCGCAACAAGTTGTTCTAACAAGTCTGATATCGTCTGCACGTAACAAGTTGACGACAACAAGCTCGTAACAACTTGTTACGTTAACAGCCTGTATTAGTCTTGTTGGAACAACTTGTAGCAAGTCTGTTACCGTCATCAACCTTGTAACAAGGTGATAACAACTTGTTCCAGACTTGTCGCAACAACTGGGAACAAGCAGTGCGAACACATCCTGATATCGGCTTCACAACAACCTTGTTACAACGTGTTTGCAGGGGAGCAACCCTGGGTTAATCTGAATTCAAAGCTTCACAGCAGCTTGCTTATAAATTTGGAAATATTTCTTCAGAAATCCTGTCTGGATCAGTAGGAGTTTTCTTCTCTGAAGTCTTGAAATAAACAGACGTACGCCCGTATTGTAAAAGCTCACTCACACTCAATGAGTGGAGGTTCAATCTGAGCTTCCCTTGAGTGTCAATACCACAACATACCAGAAGTCATTCCTGACGAGATCAACGAGAGTCTGGAACATTTTACCAAAAGATTTTACAGATAAAAACACTACATTTAACGGATTTATAAGCGCACTTCTCAAACACTATAAATCTGCCTTACGAAATGTTTACAACGCGGAGGATCCTCGAACTTGGAAATCTATATGTTTGTCTTGTAATACGTCTCGTAACCTGTCTTGTCCCATATAGTGCTGTTGTTGGTTTTTTTGGGAAGAAGCACAATTCTCTGTGAGCATTACATTGATATCGAAGGAACTAGATTCTGTTCCGAAATATCACATACTCGAACCGATCTGACCGCGTAGCTCAGTTGGCAGAGCATTGGGCTAGTATTCCAAAGGTCGTAGGTTCGATTCCCACCGTGGTCAGGCATATTTTTCAAGCTTGCCCGGTGTGGATATACACTCAGAGTAACATCACAAGCATCATATTCAGTTTATTCACCTGAGTACATTACACCAACACAGAAAAATCATTACAGCTTGAATATTTGTGAAAAACGATTAAAATATAAATAAATATTCTGCATGGTATGAATTGAGTAAGCTTGAATATACAGAAATTTGTGTATAAGCAGAAATCGGTGAGGTGTTCTGCTTTTAACTCCAGATATTTTAAAGTTTGTTTGTCTTGTATTGTGTAAAGGGTCGCTGTAATTGGCGAAAGCTGTAGCGTATACCCAACCATGTCAATGTATGTATCGTTTATGTTAATGTCTGTATAGCAAGTGATTTTAGGTTGATTTGGCAAAGCCTAATAAATAAATAAATAAATAAAATGCTGTTTTTGAATAGCTGGAGGGTGAGTAGTCGCATAGTAAGTACGACACTAACCCTCCAGCTATTCAAAAACATCAATGACACTCGAGAGAAGCTCAGATTGAACTTCCACTCATTGAGTGTCAGTGGACTTTTAGAATACGGACGATACAGAAATATATAAATTAAAACGGCAGCTTCAATTTTAACCGAAGGTTAGCGCTAAACCAGCTTTGAAAAACAGGCCCTAGATCTTTATAGCAACTTGCGCGTTTTTAAACTTGTTGTATAATTTTGAAAGCCCTGCATGTGTTTGGATCATCCGTGCAGATGAAGACGAACAATCCTGTCTGTCAATCGCCTGCAGTATTCTCATCTCTACTCACTTGACAGCTTTTTTCGTGGGTGCGGGACCGACACAACATTCAAAGCGACACGAAGGTTCACACAACTTGCGACAGCTCGGATCACATCTGGCTCCATCATAAACTATTTCATCATGGGGATTCCCTTCCTTGTCATAAAACCTATGTCGGTATCTTTTGGATTGAACCTTTTAAGCAAAAAATAATATTGTCATTATTCTTCTACAAAATCGGTCCTTTGCCCCTTGTAGTGGAATGTGTGTTAAGCGGGAATACCTAACGTATGTGCTCTTTCGTGCTATGGCGAGAAATTAAATCAGGGACGTGATTATTCTATTTCTTTACTAATTTGCGTATCATCGATCCATAACCCGTTGAAATATGTCCCCTGCAGTAAACACTAGGCCAAAAAAAAATATGTGGGTTTCCGGTTTCTTCTTATAAAAACTTAGGTAGGGGAGGTCGGTTTTAACTTTTTTTAAACTTTTTTTTTCATTTTCCTAACAACCGGACGCCATTTTGTTTAATCAGTGCTTCCACATCCAAAAATAAATTTCCATAATATTGCCTCAAATTTCAATTTTCTACAAACTTTTTCCTCTAAGTGGAAACACTTACAAGCATGATCCAATAAAAAAGTTTAGGGTCGGGGTTTCGACGTCCAAAAGCTAGGTAGGGTCGGGAAACTGGAAACCCACATATTTTTTTGCCCTACTAAACAGTAAATTATATTACGCGATGCTGTAAATAGGAGCATGCGGTAAGCCGTTTGCATTTTTTCTCAGTTGCTGCTTGTATGATTCAA